CTTCAGCGGGAACCTGAATAAAGACAAGTCATTTCATCAAAGTCCAGGGCAGGGTCAAAGAGTGACGTGAATGACAAGCTGTATACACCTCAGGACTACTTTCTCTTCAGCTGGCATCTGAGCCGGCAAACAGAGTGCCAAAGATACACACGAGGATTCAAGTAGGTGAGGGGATATATCCTTAGCTCCTCTCTGAGGTGTAGCCATAGAGGTGGGAACGTGCAGGGCAGTTGGGAGCTACGGATTCACTGCCTCTCATACCACTCAGTGAGGGAGAGGCCTCATCAATGCTCAGGGATCTATCTCCTACCACGTATGGAAATTTTTTTTTTTTTTCTTTTGAGACAGTCTCACTCTGTCACCCTGGCTGGAATGTAGTGGCATGATCTCAGCTCACTGCAACATCCACCTTCTGGGTTCAAGAGATTCTCATGCCTCAGCCTCCTGAGTAGCTGCGATTACAGGTGTGCACCACCATGCCTGGCTAATTTTTTTTTTTTTTTTTGAGATGGGAGTCTCACTCTGTCACCCAGGCTGGAGTGCAGTGGCACGAGCCCAGCTCACTGTAATCTCTACCTCCTGGGTTCAAGCGATTCTCCTGCCTCAGCCTGCTGAGTAGCTGGGACTACAGGCATGTGCCACCATGCCCAGCTAATTTTTTTGTATTTTTAGTAGAGACAGGGTTTCACCATATTGGCCAGGCTGGTCTTGAACTCCTTACTTTGTGATCCGCCCGCCTCGGCCTCCCAAAGTGCTGGGATTACAGGCGTGAGCCACTGCGCCCAGCCAATTTTTGTATTTTCAGTAGAGACAGGGTTTCACCATGTTGGCCAGGATGATCTCGAACTCCTGGCCTCAGGCAATCCACGCACCTCGGCCCCCCAAAGTGCTAAGATTACAGGCATGAGCCACTGCGCCCAGCCAGGTATGGAAATTCTTGCTGTGCTATCATTACATTACATTCTGCAAGTGACAGAAAATCAAGCACGTGGCTTAAACAGGTAGGAAGTAAATTTGCCTTTCACATAGCAGATTGGTGATCGAGGCTTGCTGTAGCACTCTGAGTTTTGCTTTACTATGTATGACCTCCATTCCCAAAGTCTCCTCATTCTCCAAAATAACTCTCCATAGTCCAGTCATCTCATCCATGCTCCAGACAGCAGGAAGAAGAAAATAAGGAAGAAAAGCCCAGCCTTGGCCTTTAAGGTCCCATAATAGATGTTATATATATATATTCTCCGCTGCCTATATGCCAGTGACCAGACTCTAGACTGGTGACTCTACCAAGCGGCAAAGAAGTATGGGAATTGTATTCATTATTCTGGATGTGTGCCCAGCTAAAAATTGAGTGTTCTAAGCCAGGCACAGTGGTGCATACCTATAGTCCAAGCTACTTGGAAGGCTGAGGTAGGAGGATCCCTTGAGCCCAGAAGTTCGAGTCCAGCCTGGGCAACATAGCAAAATCCTGTCTCTAAAAAAGTAATAATAATATCTAGAGAAGAAGAGAACAGACACTGGGGGCAACTAGCAGACTCCACCACCCCATCCTCAAATAATTTCTTATGACTTAGGATGGCCCAGGAAGAACAGTATAATTCCTGCTTGTCCCAGAAAGGTGCTGATATGCCCACAAAAGTGACTGACTCTCATGGAGCCCTGTAAACTGAAATGTGGTAGGCAGACAACTGCAAACAGATGGATGTCTCAAGACATGCCAACCTGAATAGATAATGAACCAGGTCCAGGAATCATCTACTGCCATGGCATATGTGAGTCCTCCTACCACCTCCGTAGGTGGAACCCAGGGAAAGAAAGGGATACCAAATTGACTCAGAACGTGCTTGCACTCCTTTAGTGAAATGAGGATTATGGTGGCCATTAGGGCTGTTCACAAATGTTCTGACTCTTCTCCTTCTGGGTAGATGGTAGGATTTGCATTTCTCTGCCTCCCTGAGGTTAGATGTGGCCATGTGATATACTTTAGTCAATGACCCATGAGCAGAAGTGAGATGTGTCCTGTCCAGGTTGAAGATTAAGAGCCTGTGAAAGTTAATTTTATGTGGCAACTTGGCAAGGCCATGGTACCTAGTTTTTGGTCAAACATCAGTCTGGATGTTGCTGTGAAGATATTTTGTCCTTGTTCTATTTCTTTTGCTTTATTTCCTATTTATTACCTTTGCCTCCCCAAATCAATGCTGTCAAGGCATTTGGATGCCTTCCTTAACATTTAAATCTGTAGATGTGGACTTTGAGTAAAGTAGATTACTCCCCATAATGTGGGTGAGTCTCATCCAGTCAGTTAAACAGATTAAGAGAAAAAGACTGAGGCATCCTGGGGAAGAAATTCAGCCCCCAGACTGTCTTTGAACTATGGCCACGTCAACTCTTCCCTCGATCTCCAGCCCGTCATCTTGCCCTGAAGATTTTAGACTTGCCAGCCCTGACATTGGCGTGAGCCAATGAAGTCTCTCCCTCTGTCTCACTGTCTCTCTCCCTTTGTGTCTCTCTTTCTCTCTCTTCATGTCTCTCTGTCTCTGCCACTCTCTCTCTCATCATGTTCATTTTTTTTTTTGGAGACAGGATCTTACTATATTGCCCAGGTTGGAGATATGTATATGTATATGTAGATAGATAGATAGATAGGTAGATAGATAGATAGATAGATAGATAGATAGATAGATAGATAGATAGATAGATACAGAGACAGAGAGAGACATGAAGAGAAATATAGATAGAGACACAAAGTGAGCATGCGTACAATTCCAGTAAACACACTGCGCATTCCGACAGCCCACCCCAAAGGAAGAATCGGGGGAGAAGTAACGCAAGACCACAGAAGTATGCCAACATATAAAACCCCAAGTCAAAAGGTCAAACCACACATTTGATCCCTCAAGTCCCCTGCTTGACTCTCTTTGAAATGTACTTTCCTTCCTTTCATTCCTGCTCTAAAGCTTAACAAACTCACTCCTGCTCTAACACTTGCCTCGGTCTCTCCTTCTGCCTTATGCCCCTTGGTCAAATTCTTTCTTCTGGGGAGGCAAGAACTGAGGTTGCTGCACACCCCCACCATCCGCCACCGTTAATAGGCTGAAGTGTTCCTCCCGCCTTGGCCTCCCAAAGTGCTGGGATTACAGCCATGAGCCACGGCACCCAGCCTAGAATTAATATTCTATTCCCATTCTTCTACCCCTTAAGCTTCCCCAGGCTCTAAAATTACCTCTTTTTCTCAATTCAACAACAATGCTTCATTTGCTTCTTAGGGTAAGAGATCACAACTATCTAATGAGAGGTAATAAGCAAATCTTCTCCAAGGTCTGAACAAGAGCTCCATTCTCCCAAGGGGACTTGCACTTAAAAAGATTTAAAAACAAAACAAAAATCCCACACAAATCAAGCTGTATTTGGTGAAACTCTAAGAAGTGCAATTAAGGAGTTTTCCTACACTATGGAAAGTAATTTTTCAGAGGTGCTCTGCAGATAGAATCAACACTGTTGGACATTGTACTTGGGGTTGCCGGGTGTTTCTAAGTGGCAGAGAACAGGGAATCCTCACATTCTCTTCTGGAGTTCCCATTTCTCCATCCAGATGGCTCCCAGTGGTGCTGAGTCCAGCTTCTGTAGCTCCCAGTGAGGCTGAGTCCAGCTTCTGTAGCTTCACAGCCTCTCCTGTTCATCCTCAGGCCCAGCTACTGGCTGCTTTGTTTTCCACAGGGCAGCTTCCTGGGATATGTGACCTTTGTCTCAGGGTAAGGTCCTGAATCCTGGTGCAGAAATATTATCCCTGGGTGTCACATCTCCCCTCTTGCCTCACCCCAGGAGGCTTACCTCTAATCTCAAATGTAATGTATAGCCATAAGAAGTCAACTAGGGGACCAGGTGTGGTGGCTCATGTCTGTAATCCTAGCAGTTTGGGAGGCCAAGGCAGGTGGCTCACTTGAGGCCAGGAGTTTGAGACCAGCCTGGGCAACAAAGTGAAACCCTGTCTCTACTAAAAATACAAAAATTAGCCAGGCATGGTGGTGCCCACCTGTAATCCCAGCTACTGGTAGGCTGAGGTGGGAGGATCACTTGAGCTCAGGAGGTAGAAGTTAGCTGAGCTGGGATCATGCCACTGTACTCCAGCCTGGGCAACAGAGTGAGACCCTGCCTCAAAAAAGAATAAAGAAATCAACTAGAGAACTTATTAAAAATGCAGATTCAGGAGTCCGGATTCTGATTCCTTAGGTTGGGTTGCAGGCCAGAAAGCTGCATTTTTACAAGCAGCTCAGATGCAGGCAGGAGGCAGACTTTACTTGGAGAAATAGTGCAAAGGGAGATGGGGTGAGCTATTAACATCACCCACTCTCTTAAATCTCTGTGCTTTTCTAGTAAGCTCTGACTCTGTTATTGATGCAGCTGGGCCATCTGCTCATAACCTCAAAATGAAACAAATGAAACCAACAAACAAAAGATGGAATGTTGCTTCTAGGAATTTCTGTACCATTTTTCTCTTTTCTTTCTGTTTACAAAGGGATGGGCCTTTTTGTGATGCAGTCTTTAGTGACAAAACTGAGGACAAATGATACCCTCCTCTCCCACTCAGTTTTTGCCATATTTGCAGAAGGCTGATGACATGGCCTAAAAGTAAACACATAAGAAATTCTTTGAGCAGCCGGCTCAAAGAATTCTCAAATGAAAGCTAGGACAATCAAGAGTTAAATGCACTTATTAACGCAGTGACTGTTATAAACTTGGGTTAGAACCAGCAGCCGTAGGGCAGAATCAATAGTCAAAATGACATAATCCATTTGGCCAATTGAAGGTTTCATTTCTATGGCCTCTGGGAAGAGGCACCGAGCCCCCCACACCTGGAAGTAATTATTCCAGCCTGGCCTCCCGCCCAGGACCAAGTCAGGTCTCTGACGGAAATCCAGGCGCCCTCTCGTGGTGGAGGTAAAGGACGATAGAAAGTTGAGAGTTTTTACATTCTTGTGTTTCACCCCTCTTCCATCTGATACCCAGAGCTTTTTTAAGGATCTGCAGGTGCAGAGTCCTCCTCGAAGCTGCAGCAGGACTGCGCGACAGGTAATAGTGTCCTCGCTCTGGTGGCATCCCCAGATTTAGTCTATGCACGTCAAACATTAGTTGGGTGCTTTGATACTTCACAAATAAAGACATGGAGCAGCTGTGTTTAAAAGCACAGTTCTTTCTGGCCCAGTTCTATACATTAAACCCAGCCAACCCACCGGTGCATGTCACAGAAAGCAGTCAATAAAAATCAAGCCCCGGTCGGGCCCGGTGGCTCACGTCTGTAAACCTAGCACTTTGGGAGGCCGAGGCAGGCGGATTGCCTGAGCTCAGGAGTTCAAGACCAGCCTGGGCAAAATGGTGAAACCCCGTCTCTACTGAAATACAAAAAAAAAAAGGCCGGGCGCGGTGGCTCACGCCTGTAATCCCAGCACTTTAGGAGGCCGGGGGGCGGGGCGGATCACAAGGTCAGGAGATTGAGACCATCTGGGCTAACACAGTGAAACCCCGTCTCTACTAAAAATACAAAAAATTAGCCGCGCGTGGTGGCGGGCGCCTGTAGTCCCAGCTACTCGGGAGGCTGAGGCACGAGAATGGCGTGAACCCGGGAGGCAGAGCTTTCAGTGAGCCGAGATCCCGCCACTACACTCCAGCCTGGGCGACAGAGCAAGACTCCGTCTCAAAATAAAAAACAAAAAATAAAAAATAAATCAAGCCCCATGTTCAGCCTGGGTCCTCTGGCTCCATCAGCACCCACACTTCAATCCCAATCCTGCCTGCCCAGCTTCTCCAACCCTATGCGGAGTCTGCTTTTCCAGCTCAACACTCAGCCCTCATTATGGATCTCAAAATCTGCTCCCAGGGGCGGAGCTTGCATTCACCCTGCGGCCCTGGGTTCCACCTGGCTGGCATATCCACCCTTCCTCTCTCACAATCCCAATCAGGGAAAATCTCACAATTCATAACCTGAAAATAATAGAAAAAGACCTCCGCATCTTCAAAAAGGGCCGTCCATTAGTCAGACACTCTACTCACACACGATTTTTTCATTTTTAACAGTAAATTACACAGACATATTCTACTGTTTTAAAAATTCAAATCCAACCTACAGAAGCCATTGTTATTCTTGAACTTTTTATATGTTTTCACATACATAAATGCACTAGAGAGGTATTGAGTTTTATTGTTTGTGGAGTTTTTTTTTTTTTTTTAGCATAAATAGGATCATATTATATCTGTCTTCTTTTTCTTTCACAGGTTGATTTTTTTTCTTTACATATATATGTATTTTCTTTTTTTTTTTTTGAGACAGGATCATGCTCTGTCATTCAGGCTAAAGTGCTGAGGCATGATCATGGCTCACTGAAGACTGGTCCTTCTGGGCTCAAGCAATCCTCCTGCCTCAGCCTCCTAAACTGCTGCAATTATAGGCAGGAGCCACCATGCCCAGCTTACAGCTTGATTTTTTAAATTAACAATAAGATATGTTTTATCAGTAAACCTTTCCCTGTACATTTCTCTGAAGCCATTGAGTTTTTTTTGTTTTTTTGTTTTTTTTTTTTTGAGATGGAGTCTTACTCTGTTGCCAAGGCTAGAGTGCAGGGGCAGGATCTCAGCTCATTGAAACCTCTGCCTCCCGGGTTCAAGCAATTCTCCTGCCTTAGCCTCTCGAGTAGGTGGGATCACAGGCACATGCCACCATGCCTGGCTGATTTTTTTTGTATTTTTAGTAGAGATGAGGTTTCACCATGTTGGTCAGGCTGGTCTTGAACTCCTAACCTCAAGTGATCCACCCACCTTGGCCTACCAAAATGCTGGGATTATAGGAATGAGCCACCACGCCTGGCCTACTTATTTCTTTTTAACTGTTGCATACTACTCTATAGTGCCTAGAAAGCCAAAATAATACTTTTTTCTTCCTTTCCTAAGTCTGGAATCAATGAAGGAATAAGAAAATGGAGGCAGACAGATATAAATCAAAAGCTGACAGAAATCAAAATGTCAGTGTTGTTAACAAGCTGATGGGAAAACATAGTTTAAGGGTACATCTAGAAGGACTCGCCAATATTTTACCCCTGAACAAATACAGACTTACCTGCTGGGCCACACGCATCCCTGGACATCCAACATGTATGTGAAGCAGGCTTCAGAGCTTGCCACAGAGCAGGGCAAAGGCCAGAATGACCTCCAAGCAAACACCGTGGAAGATGGCAGGGAAAGAACCAAGCAAAGGTGCCCAGGCCCTTGTACTTAAGTTACCAATCAAGCAAACTAGTCCTCCTCTCAAAGAGATGAGTGAGTGGATAAGGGGTTGGAGAGAGAACAGGAGTGTTACTCTAGAATCTAACTGAGGCCAGGGAAATGGAGATTCCCCTAAACATTTTTCAGATTTTTAGTCTTGCAACCCTTTCAGCTCAAAATCTGCCGGAGCACAGCTAACTCCCGCTTCCTCCTGGGAGAAGAGATCAGGCAGGTATCAGAACGTTCCTGGCTTCTACATTCATGAATCCATTCCCTCAATACCAGCCACTGCTCTTTTGTAGAGCTGTCTCACAGACGGTTTATATTTTGGCCTCAGCAGACTCTAATATGGGTTAGAGCAGCCCATTAACTTCTAGACCATGATATTACCTAAGCCAAAAATGTGCTACAAATTCTGTTTCCCATCAAAAACACGCCTAGTCATATTGTCCACTGTAACTCACTAAAGGTTATACAATTAAATAAAATGACCGCAAAAAGCTATTCCTTTCAAAAATGCAATATCTAACACAATGTATGTAGTCCATATATGAAAAACTCACACCTGGCATCATATTTAATAGTGAAGGACTGAAAACTTTTCGTCTAAGATCAGGAACAAGACAAGGATGCATGTTTTCACCACTTCTGTTCAGTAGAGTACTGGAAGTTCTACCGGACCAATTAGGCAGGAAAAAGAAATAAAAGGCATCCAAACTGGAAAGGATCAAGGCATCTGTTCACAGATGATATCATCTTAGAAAATGATAAACACTCCACAAAAAAACAGAACTAATAAACAAAATCAGCAACATTGCAGGATACAAAATCGACATACAAAAATCAGTTGCAATCCCATACATTAACAATAAACAATCCAAAAAAATAAATTAAAATAATTTCACTCACAATGGCATCACAAAGAATAAAATACTTAGGAAAAAACTTAACCAAAGAGATGAAGCACTTGTATATTGAAAACTACAGCTGGGTATGGTGGCTCACGCCTGTAAGCCACCACTGAGCAGAGTTGGTGCCACTGCACTTCAGCCAGACCTTGTCTCAAAAAAACAAAACAAGGCTGGGCGCAGTGGCTCACGCCTGTAATCCCAATACTTTGGAAGGCCGAAGCGGGTGGATCACCTGAGGTCAGGAGTTCCAGACCAACCTGACCAACATAGAGAAACCCCATCTCTACTAAAAAATACAAAATTAGCCAGGTGTGGTGGCACATGCCTGAAATCCCAGCTACTCAGGAGGCTGAGGCAGCGGAATCGCTTGAACGTGGGAGGAGGAGGTCGCGGTGAGCTGAGATCGCAGCATTGCACTCCAGGCTGGGCAACGAGAGCGAAAATCCATTTAAAAAAAAAAAAAAAACTACAAAACATTGCTGAAAGATTTAGATTTAGACATAAGTTAAGTAGGAAGACATTTCATGGATTGGAAGACTTAATATTGTTAAAATGTCAATATACCCAAAATGATCTACAGACTCAATGCAATTCTTATCAAAAACCCAATACTGGCTAGGCGCCGTGGCTCAAACCTGTAATCTCAGCACTTTGGGAGGCCGAGACGGGCGGATTACGAGGTCAGGAGATCGAGACCATTCTGGCTAACACGGTGAAACCCTGTCTCTACTAAAAAATACGAAAAACTAGCCGGGCAAGGTGGCGGGTGCCTGTAGTCCCAGCTACTTGGGAGGCTGAGGCAGGAGAATGGCGTGAACCCTGGAGGCGGAGCTTGCAATGAGCAGAGATCGCGCCACTGCACTCCAGTCGAGGTGACACAGGGAGACTCCGTCTCAAAAAAAAAAACCCAATACTGTTGGTTTGTTGGTTTGTTTGTTTGTTTGTTTGTTTTTCAGGAAGAGAAAAATCCATCCTAAATCCCTGTGGACTCTCAGAAAAACTCTGAATGGCCAAAACAATCTCAAAATAGAAGAATGAAGTTGGAGGTCTCGAACTTTCTGATTTTAAACAATAGTAATCGTGCTACAGTAATCAAGACAGTGTGGTACTGGCATAAAGAGAGACAGATAGACCAACGGAATAGAATAGAGAGCACAGATATAAACTGTAAGCCCTCGCCGGGTGCAGTGGCTCACACCTGTAATCCCAGCACTTTGGGAGGCCTAGGTGGGCAGATCACTTGAGGTCAGGAGTTCAAGACCAGCCTGGCCAACATGATGAAACCTTGCCTCTACTAAAAATACAAAAATTAGCTGGGTATGGTGGCATGTGCTGGTAGTCTTAGCTACTGAGGAGGCTGAGCAGGGAGAATAACTTGAACCTGGGAAACAGAGGTTGCAATGAGCTGAAATCACACCACTTCACTCCAGCATGGGTGACTGAGTGAGACCCTGTCTCAAAAAAAAAAAGAATTAAAATAAACTATAAGCCCTTACATACATTAATATAATCAAATGGTTTACAACAAGGATGCGAAGACCATTCAATGGGAAAGGGACAGTCTTCTCAACAAATGGTGCTGGAAAACTGGATATCCATATGCAAAAGATTGAAGGTGGAGCCTTACCTAACACCATACACAAAAATTAACTCAAAATGGACCAAAGCTCTAAATGTAACGGATAAAACTATACAACTCTTAGTAGAAAACACAGGGGGAAAGCTTCAGGACATTGAATTTGGCAATGATTTCTTGGATATGACATCAAAAGCACAGGGGCTGGGCAGGGTGTAAGCCCAGCACGTTGGTGTGCTAAGATGGGCAGATCACCTAAAGTCAGGAGTTTGAGACCAGCCTGGCCAACATGGTGAAACCCCATCTCTACTGAAAATACAAAAATTATCTGAGCATGGTGGCGTGTGTCCTGTAGTCCTAGCTACTCTGGAGGCTGAGATGGGAGGATCGCTTAAACGTGGGAGGTGGACGTTGCAGTGAGT